TCCTCAACCACATGCTTGCAGCTTCCCTGAAGGTTTCCAAACACATAAATACTGCTGGAACCCCATCTGGCTGAAAAAAATCAACCATCTGGAGATTTGGAAATATGGGAGAACTTCTAATGACTGGCTAATATTTTTTTCCCATTTTTCAGCCAGATGTTTGATGTCATCCTGGCCCATCTGTAGCAGAAATACCAGATACTAAATCTCTTTTTCCGTAACTTTAAGTTCCCTGTCCTAAAATCCTAAGTAAGTAGGTTTTCTTTTCTATTTTTTAACGAATTAAAAAAGTGATTATTGACTAATAAAGAGTAATTCAACAATCAAATATAAAAATATCAGAAATTTGGATTAAAAGTGCCAGTTCGATAATTTACAAGTCTGAAAACTGGCAGCCCATGGGCCAAATTCAGCTACAAGGTAAATTTGGTTTGACTAGTATCACATTCTTAAAAAGCTGAAAGAGTTATCTGCATTTTAAAAATCAAGAGATTTTACATCTGGCTTTTCTTTACTTGAAATATTGGGTCACACTTGGTGTCCATTTCTCCAAGGTAAAAATCAACTCAAGCCAAGTAATAATCATCCTTCAGATGGGGCTTGAGCTTTCTAGTTTGCCACAGTCATCACCACCCGCTATTGCCCCACACTGAGACCAAGCTCCAGTTACCATACATCTTCTCAAATCTACTGTTACCTACCTCCAAAGCTGTTTGGAATTGAGTTAACAGGGTTGAGAAATGCTTGTTTCACATTTTACATTAGCTGCTTCATCTACACGAACATTTGGATTTGTGACTCCCTAATTTTATCTAAAGCTCTTATTTTAGAATTGGGTAAACTGAGGTCCAAAGAGGGAAAATAATATTCACAATTCATTGTTAATTCGCAGTTAACTGTTAGTGATGGAAATGGGATGAACACCAGGTTTCCTCACTACTAGCCTGGTGGTCTTTCTGCTATCTAAATACATCGCTTTGATTGTCTCTAGGACTTCAAAAGGTTTTCTTAATGAGACAGTCACATATTGAACATGTTCTCATTCAAATTCACAGGCCACTGTTGAAAACGTGAAGCAGGTTAGGGCTCTACTTTGTGAGCGCCTCCCGTGCTTTCCAGATAATGAGTCAGGCGTTCGTGTTGGTTTTCCAGTGTGGGTGTCTCTACACAGGTCGATTGTCTTTCCATTCAAAGTGTGTCCTTCGCTGCCTCTGAATTTGTGTATGTCTGGTGGCTCCTGTGTCCCTCCCGACGCTGCACAGGCATGCTGAGTGTTCTGAGATTTGGGACTTCTGAATGGAAAAACCCATGTGTCTGGGCATTTTCACAAGATAATGTTTGTACCGGTAGCAGACTACCCACTGAAGCATAAATTAATGTTCTCTAGCAAATGTTCAGAGAGGCAGCACGACTAAGGTTAAGTATTGCCTGCTGAGTTTAGGTGTGTGACCTTGGGCAAGTTATGTAAATTTCCCAGCCCTCAATTTCCTCATCTGTAAAATGAGGGTAGTAATAGTACCTATACCATTGAGCTCCTTTGAAGATGAAAGGGGTATTTTTCAAAATTCTTAGAACAGTGTGAGCACATAGTAAGTGCTAAATGCAAGGGATATTCCAATTGGTTACATTATCTTTTCTTAGTAGGTTTTTTAAAAAGTTGAAAAACTGATTATTGACTAACAAAGAATAATTCAGGAATCAGATATAAAAATAGCAGAAATTTGGATTAAAAGTACCATTTGGGTAATTTATAAGGCTCAAAACTGGCAGCCCATGGGCCAAATTCAACTACAAGGTAAACTTAGTTTGAGTGATCCTGTCACTCAGGGAGGAGAAGGATGTTTCCAGTTTTCATTTCTATAACCTAACTATAACTAAGTAGGTTATATAAAAAAAAAACCTTACTATAACTAACTAGGTAGGTTATAGAAAGGAAAACTGGAAACATCCTTCTCCTCCTTGAGTGACATGGTCATCCTTAAAACACATAGCCTCAGGCACAGTACAAATATCAATGCATGTTGGCTTTACCATCATAATTGCATGGAGCACCTTTAGAAAAGTCAGATTTTTGTGGTCCACCTCAGACCTATGGAAGCAGGAGATCTAGTTGTGAAGTCCCTGAAGATCTAAAAATTTTTAAAACTCCTCATGAGAATCTGATGACCAGCTAAGCTGGGAAACAATTCCTTATACTTGAATATCTTTGATGTTGGAAGACTCTAAAAGCTTCCCATTCCACATTCGATAGTTATTTATATGGAGGTAAAACCTATTTTCCTCTAGCTCCTACTTCTACCTCCTTGAGGCCACACAGAACGTTTCAAATCTCTCTTTCATATGACAGCCCTTCAGATATTTACAGACAGCTGTCATGTTCTCCTTGGCATTCTCTTCTTTTAGAGAAAATAATCACATTGCCTCATGGATCTTTAAAAAGTATGGAAGAATTAACTTTTCTAATTTGATATCTAAGAAAATGGAGCTACAAAATCCTCCCAATTTTCCTTTGACACTTAAAGGACCAGAAAATGAGGATGCTGCAGCTCTGGGGTAGGTAAGAAATACTGAATAGGAAAGAACTGTCCATCTTCATTCTAGCAGAGGATGGAAATGCCCAGGTTGGATGCTACCAACTGCATGTGTCTTCCAATGCAGAAATCAGAGGCTCCCGAATATTCCTCAAACACCTGATGTGTTTGATATATTATGACAAATCTTGGCTTCAAATTTTAGCCAGGGCCCATCTGGGTGTTGATTACATGGGTGCAGTCACAGCTAATATTTTCTTGTGATTCATTGTGATTTGTGCATCTTAATGTATTTAACACTTCAAAAAATTAAACAACAAAAACAAAAAGCCAGGTCAAGTTGTGTGGGGATTGCAACACATTTTCTGAATAGAATTCACCTGCCCAAGGACACATCTTCAATTCATCCAATTCCTTCTTGATTCAATTTCTCACTTATCCCATTAAGCCTACAGAATGCCTGGGTGGGGTTTCAATTCCTTGCTCAAACTGTGGGTGTAGGACATGACATTAGAGAAAAGTGAAACCATCAGTTGAGAAATTCTTAGCAAGGGTTCAAAAATTCTAGGTCCTACCTTTGCTCTTATAGGTACGTTTTCTCACAGACCATAATGAGGGAAGTCAAACTTTGTGTTTAATTGTGCATTCTCAGGTTTGATTCTAAGAGGCAGAAGAATTGAAAATGGCTAAAGCACAGTATACATATGTGCCATTTTTGGCTTGGAGAAATCTTAGATTTTTTTCTGCCATCTCTAGAATCATGTGGATATCACAGCATCCACCAAATAAGTTTTACAAAAGACAATTCAATTCCTTACAGTCAATATAAGAAAGGGAAATACTGAATTTCCCTGAGGTAAATGACTTCAGCCATATACAGTCACAAATATTTGACTTTTGTCGTTGTTTAGGAAATAATTATTCTAGAATTTCTGTCAGTACACTGAATACAGCATAAGCTTTAGATAGTGTTAATTCAAGACCACCTAATCCAAATGTATCATTTCTCAGATGAATAAACTAAGAATTGGAGAGGGTAAATGTCTTAGCCAAGGTCACACTGATACTTTGCAGCATTAACCAGGTCTTCTGACTTCACGTGATCCTTGCTGCATTAAAGATAGCCCTTTCCTACCTGGGCTTCCCACCAGTTGCAAATCTGTGTCAGAAACAGAATCAATTGTAGTAGCACTACGGTCAGGAAAGCAGTTGTTCAAAGTGTCAGGACATGGGAAGAAGGCCAGAGAATGATGCAATATTACACTGGCAAGTGATGTCATAGCATGATTTCCTAAGCGATTTACATAAATGCAAGTTCTCAAGAAGCCCTGACAAATGTCAGCCAGTGGGAATGCAGTCTGAAGAACCAATGGCAAGCAGGGGAGGAGACCATACAGGAAACCCAGATTTCCTTGCCCACCAATGTGACAAGCTTCACAGGTTTCTCAGAAGCCTAAGAAAACCCCCTACTGCCCCTATAATCCAGTGACTTCCCTCAGGCACATAGGCTCCAAAGAGCTTTGATTTTCTTCCTTATCGTTCTATTTACTCCTAGTGATATCCAAGCATTGCCCATTGGTGCTAAGAGTGACTTCTGGTGTGGTGAAAGCAAGTTTAATAGTGTGATAGGCTAAAAAGGGGCTTTACATTTTAAAATTGTTCTATCTTCATTATAATTTAGAGTTACTCCATTAATTTTTAGAATTAAAAGTGATGAACCGCAATTCTTGGAGAATCAATCTTTTGTAAATGTCTTGGAAATAACATCTTTTTTAGGTTTGGGAATGATTTAGGGATAAAGACAGGTGGATACAAAATACCAAGACTTCAGTTTGTTGTAATCCAAACTAATAAAACATGTATCAATAAGGATTTTTTTTTCTTAAAATGTGTGCATGGGGTGTGAGTGGGAGTAGAGGTTTACATATGTTACCCTGTTATTGATTGTCAATGGAAGTTCATGACAATATCTAGTTGGAGTGAACTCAGGAGAAACTGATAAGTCTATGTTGAGAAAAAAGGAAATAGCTCAGAATGTGCCAGACCAGGTCAGAATCTCTCTCTCTCCCCCTCACTTCCTTCCTATTATCCTTCTGCCTCTTCTCCCTCCCCCTCCCTTCAAAATGCAATTTAAGCAGAGTTAAAGACCCCATCTCAAGCCAGAGATTCAAGCAATTTACAATATGCCTAGGGATTTTGGATTTAAAGACTTTTCTCAACTGCAGAAGCTGCCTAGAGTGTCACAAAATCTCATCTCATGAAGCTTATACTAAAAACAATCAACAAGACCCAACCCCTTTAACTCACATGGCGTCAGTCTTCCTGGTAACAGAGTCTGTGCACCTGCACATTCTCAGCAATAATTTGAACTACTCTTCTTTCCTCATCACCATCTCCATCTCCCCCAAACAACCACCAGAATATCACAAACTGGATTATTCAGAGCCATTGAGAGGAATTTGCAAATACCTTCTAGGCAGCAGGTCCTCCACAGCCCCGAATGGGTCATTACTTCTTCATTCTTCCTGCTGGTTTCATTATCACTTGTAGATTTAGTCCTGCACACACCTCTGGAATATAACCAGTAGTCCGTGCCCACTGCAATGGTCATTAAACTAAAAGCTGCAAAGGCTCCCACAGTGGTGATCAACATCTGGATACCTCTGTCACACATCCTCATAATTCTTCATGGTACTCTGGACGGCTGGGGGTTGGAGGGGAAGAGTCAGTGCCGGAGGGGAAAATCACTCTGCAGCCGGGTAACCTAGCACAGGCTCTTCTAAAAATTCAGGTCTCCTTTTGTCAGCATCCACAGGGACTTTGGGAAAGCTGGGATTTCCTGTCTGGAGCGCTCTCCAGTTCCCTGGGTCGCCTATGGCCCTCGGAAGGGTGCAGGCTCCGGGGGGTTGGTCCGCATCACTGCTGCTTTCTGAGGGTCCCTGGGTTCCTTTCATTCCTCAGGAGCTTGGTAAAGACGAGGGTCCGTGCAGGGCATGGCTCCGGAGCCTGGAGCTGCCAGCTCGGTTGGAGATGCGCCTGGCTTCTCACAGCCTCGGGAGACTCAAGGCAAAGAAACCCAGAGAGGTCTCTGTGTGAGTGTGTGTGTGTGCGTGCGTGCGTGTGTGTGCGAGCGCGTGTGCTGGGGGTGAGGGCGGATGGCAAAAAATAGCACTGCTGGGAGGCGAGCCGCTGAGAAGAGTGTTCACTGCTTCCACAGCCTCGCAGGAAAGCTCTCCGCCTGCTCCCGACACCCCCGCTCAAACTGGAGAAAAGACAGAGTCCTGGGGCGGGGGCTGGCTGGTTTCACTGGGGGCGCCGAGTCCGTGGTGCTGAAGGGACAGCTCCCAGCCTGTTGCCCCGCCTCCGCCGTCCTAACGCCTAGGCTTTAAGGTCCGTGGTGCTGAAGGGACAGCTCCCTCCTGCAGCTGCACCCCGCCGCCCCGAGTAGAAACCCGGAGTGCTAAAGGGTCTTCCTTTACCCGCCTTTCCCTCGTTCCTTCCCCGGTCAGCCAGCCGGCTTGACTCTGTCCAGTCAAGCCCACTCTCCGCGCAAAGTTTCTGGAGCCGAGGGCAGTCAGCGCCCTGGCTCCTGGGCGCTGCAGCACGACCCGGTTCCTCCGCTCTGGGAAGGGTTAAGGAAAGGGGAAGGGGAGTGAAACCCTTAGCGCACTCTGGCGCTCTCTCAGCACCCACCCAGCGCGGCATTCTTCAATCCTCCCTTCCACCCCATGAGCCAGGCAAGTTTGCCGTTTGCTGCGAGCACCACTGGAACCCACTGGGGAAAAAGAAGACCCGAAAGACCGAGTCTTCTTAAAGGCACCGGCAGCTCTGGGGACGGCTCTATGGCTCACTTAGGCAGGCAAAAAGTGTTGTCACAATCACATCTGTGTAGAGTCTGTCTCAATTTGGTTCCCCAGCAAACAAACCAATATGTCTACCCTCCTTTCTCTGGAGCTCTGGTTTACACCGGAGACAACCTGCTCAGATCAGACCCGGAACTGTTCATACACATATGATCATGTATTCCTAAAAGATGGAAGGAGCTAAATGGATATAGACTCTATCATGCACATATTGGGGACCTTGGGCAAAAGAGTATAAGATTTTGGTCTTTGAATATGCCTCTTATATATTTTAACACCTCTACATTTAAGGAGGTGATGGATTCACGGTGGGAGAGTCACTGAAAATGTCAGATTTTTTTCAAAGGTCTCTAGGATAATCATTTGCTAACATTCTTATCTAAGTCGGACCACCAGGCAGGTGAAGTTAAGTCTGCTTTCCTTGTTAGTCCAAAGTGCAACTGAAGTTGCATACCTGAAAGCTCTCTTTCTTGGAAATAGCCAGTGTTTGCAACAGATTAGCATTTAACCAGCTTTTTATTACTATGTATTCCGGCATATGCATGGGCTCACACCGCGTTGACTAAAAACAGCCCACAGAAATACTCCTATTATTATTTTTTTCCTATGGCATACTGGGACTGATATCCAGAGGTCAGGCACTTGGAAATGAGGCTGCTTGGGTTGTTTCCGCAGTTCCTGAGATGTGTCTGCAACCAACTGTCATGTTTGAATGTTATTTAGCTGGACAGAAATATAACAGGAGGTAATTGCAGACACACATACTCCCCTGGTGCCATCTTTGGCTGCCTGGGAGCTTCTGTTCAGGTGACTGAGTAGCAGTAATGTATTGAAGGGTTCTCAAATGCAGCTCACAACTTCTTGGTGACTTCGTTACTTTTATTTTGGTGTTAAGATTGAAGACTTTATCTGTAGTGTTAGATAAACATGCATGTGCATGAGGGAGTTTGAATATGAATATATAGCTGTGGAGTGATTGTGTTTGAATGCTCACCTGTGCTATGTTCAGTTTAGTTATAAATTCTGAATGCCTGTGAACTTGTCATAGAAGTAAAGCAGGTATGTAAATGTATGTTTGTACCTGCAAGCAGTGTTATGGACCATGTGAACATATTTGCTGCAAATGCATAGCTTTGCACATGTATGTGTATGCATGCATGTGTGTGTGAGTATAGTATAGACTTGAACATGTAGATGTGTATACCTATGTGCATTTAGTTGCATATGCATGTGTCATGGTTCACAAACACTGATGTATGACAGGAGGTAGAAATACTGAAAGCTTGCCACGTAATCACAATGGAATGGATAAACTTGGGGCCAGGACAGCCATACTCTAGAATAATGACAGAAGAGGGTAAACAAGGCCCCCTACAAGTTACTTAGAGTTATTTTCTTTCCTAAAAAGAAAACTTGCATCTTAATTAAGTATCACATCTTGATTATTATTAACTTTTTTTTTTAAAGGGAAAGCCACATGTAATATTGAGGTGAGGTTGGTATTTATTAGGAGGGGTTATTCAGTTGGCAAAAATTTCCCTCCCCACTCTCAGAAAGTTAAATAAGATGAAGTAATTAATAATGATCAAAGCAGTCATTTCAGGATCTCTTGCTCTGATAGAAGTGAGAAAGGTCTTCTTTCAAAGAAGGACTTTGTTGATGAAAGGTCAGTGAGCTTCAGGGCTAAGGGACAGTATGTCCCAATCACTTCACTTATCAGACCCACGGTGGAACAACAGCATCTCCGTCTCCACTCACTTAGCTCTGCAACAGAAGCCCAGACAGGCAGAGCATGGTGCCCACGGACCTAGGAAAAGGATAGTTGGGGGAAAAGGATCAGGAGCTCAGGTAGATGAAGGTAACAATTATGGGTCAGGATGCACCTAGCTTTTCTGAATAAGAGAAAGGGATGATTGTGATAAAATCAGAGCTGTGTCCTGGGTCTCTGACTTGGTGAGGCAGGCTCATTCTTTGGAATTGCTGTCCAGGGCCCTGATCACTGTGGGAAGTCCCGAACCTGCATGTGGAGCAAGTCAGAACACCTGAATGGAGTGGGAGTGTGGAGGCAGTGAGGCTGCAGTTAGTTCCCTATCATGCCTCCCCACTTACTAGGGGGTGACCTCATCCTTTCATTCAATTGAATGTGTAGGTGTGTGGACCCGGGTGCGTAGAATCTGCTTGTAAGCCTAGAGATAGTTCCTCATTTTTCACCACTAGAGGGCTCTTTCAGTAGATCAATGAAGGACCCAAAAGATTCAGAGCTCTGTCCTGGCCGGGTTGGAGCTAGACTCCTGTTTGCTAATAGCCTTCTCTGATCCAAGAGAGATCAGAAGACTGGGAGACACTCAGACATCTTGCAACTGATGTCTGATTCTCTTATTAAGACTTTTGTTTCTTTCCACTGGGCTGTTAGCTAGTGGAGTAGTTGGCATGGTGTATTTATTTATGTTTGTTCCTGTCCATCTCTTCATACATCTGGAGGGGTCAGTGCCCCTTGTAAATGGTTGTGTCATTTAGAAAGGAGTACTGACAGCTGCTTCAATCCAATAAATTCTTCTCGAGTGCCTACTATGTGCAAGGCATTCCACTATGTGATCAGCACTTCAGAGAATACAAAGATATGATTCCCATCTCTCAGGGAGCAGATTATGCAGTAGGGAATATTTTATTAGTGAGTTCACTTTGACTGTAAATGGCAAAAACTTACCAGAGCTAGCTTAAGAAAATGGATAATTTAGTATAAGAATATAACAATGTTTCAAGGAACCACAGGGCAGAGGTTCAATCAGGCCTCAGCAGGGAGCTGGAACCAGCAAAAAAAAAAAAAAAAAAAAAAAAAAAAAAAAATAGAAAAAGAGAAAAAGAAAGAAAGAAGCCACCAGGAGTCTTGACAGTCTCTTTATTTTGCATCTCTGCCTCTTTTCATATTTTTAGTTGAAAAATTGTTTTGCTTCATCTATTCTTTGATCCTCGAAATAGAAGCCTAGATTTTGAGTTCTTATGTCATCTCTATTTAAGAAACCCACCCAGACTAAACTGGGCAGTTTTAGTCCTAATTCAAAATTTCCGGGAGAGACAACCTGATCAGCCTCGTTTATGTTGCTTGCCACTTCCTGATCCACACAGCTGTGGCCAAGGAGTCAGGGTCATGTAGGATAAACATAGCCATCAGGACCAGCCCCTGTGAGTTGGGGAAGGGAGGATAGTTCTTAGAAAAGGAGGAATTTCTGTGATACCTCAGAAGACTTCACTGTGGAAAGTCTATGCGATCTACTTCTGGCACCAGTCCAGTGATGCCCATGGGACCAGCAGTAAAATGTGATCACGAAGAAGACAACAAGGCAGGATATGGGGCCCAGAGATATTGGAGCCCCAACTAAGCTGGGTGTCAGGGTACCAAACCAGCTTTACCTTTTGTCAGAAGGGAATGGGCAACAGTTAGAGAAAAATGTCTTTGGAGGTAAAGGCACCCACATGTGTGTAAGTCAAGGAGATGATGAAAACCAGGCACACATGGACTAAATAGTGCCATCCTGCCATCTTGAATTCTCTCTTGATGTTTGCACATAATCTTGTTATGAGTTTTCTACTTTTAGATTCAACCTATAGAAAAAAGCATTGAAACACAAATATGCTCATAAAACATTCACACATCATTATTTCAACTTCAGTCTTGTTAACCTTTCAGTATCTGAAACCCTCTATGCTCTCTTTGAACCCAACTACATGAAGTTAGGTTTCTACTCTTGAGACAGTGATAGAAATTGGAGGTGGAGGGAGAGGGGGAATGGGAGGATGTAACATCCTGATATTATTATGCCAAGAGAATAACCAAGATATACTGTCTAGAGTTGATAAAAGAAGATGTAGACTATCTAGTATGTCTTTGAAAATTAAAGATAACCAATAAAAAATAAAAATATTCTAATTTATACTTGGAGAAGAGAAGAAGAGAGATTGGGGTAAAATTAACTAAACCAAAATAAAATGAGTAATGAGAATGACCAGGATAGGAACAGGACAGACGCTTTTCACTACAGCCGCTTCTATCCTATCTGATTTTTAAAATCTTGTCCATGTATGTGTTGATGAAAGTTTAAAGTTAATTCAAAAATAAATAAAAACAGTAAGCAGTGTGCCACCTGTCCATCTCCTCCAATTATCTCTTGTTTCATGGATCCAGAAATGCCGGGTGTTTCCTGTGACTCACCCATTGATTTCCTGTGCTGAGAATGCTCTTCCCTGAATATACTTTATATGTAAGAAACATTTATTTTTAAATAATTTTGAATTTACATACAAATTGCTGCCACCAGATATTGTCATGGTTCAATCCCTCACTTCATTCATACCTCAACTCAAATGTCACCTTCTTAGATAATTCTTTAACTGCTCTATCTAAAACTAATACCCAATACTTCTCTATCCTCTTACTCTGCTTTATTTTTCTTCATAGCATTTATCAGTCTCTGACATTATACTGTGTATATGTATACATATGATTTTGTGCTTATTGTCATCTTCCTAACTAGAGACAAAAAGATCCATGAGAACACGAGCTTTGTCTTGTTCAAATCTAAATTATCAGACCCTAGAATAGTGCTCAAGATATAGTAGGCATTTAATTATATTTGTTTAATCAACTAATTGCATAAGTAATTATTAAGATTCACACCTGTGACAGGCACTGATGAGACAATAACAAGCAGGAAAGGCATTGTTCTTGATCACCTGAAACTCTAGTCTCATGAAGGGAGCAGAGACAACTGGACAAATAAGAACAATTGTAGGTTAGGTGTAGTGGCTCACACTTGCAATCCCAGAACTTTGTAAGGCTGAGATGGGAGGATCACTTAGGGTCAGGAGTTTCAGACCAGCCTGGGCAACATAGTGAGAACTTGTCTCTCAAAAAAAAAAAATTAAAAAATTAAAAAGTAGCCAGGCTATAATCCAAGCTACTCAGGAGACTGAGGCAGGAGAGTCCTTTGAGCCTAGGAGTTCAAGA